TATATATATAACTGCATAGCCATAAATATAGGGGCCTTCACTGGCTCAAGCCCAGGAGCCTGCACCCCCCTACATCCGGCCCTGCCTGCAGTGTGGTGCAGTCTAAAGTGCTTCCAACAGAAATCGTTTTATATTTATAAAACAGTGTTTGCATGAAGAACAAGGAGAGTTTGGGCTGGGTACCGCTCACATCAGCTGTTGATCTTCTTCTGCAACACATGAAATATTATTCACTCAAACCTTTTCACAGAATCCCACTTCAAAAGCTCTGATCCGTCTCCCTGAATAACCTGATCTGGTTTCAGATTTCAGATTGCCTCCTCTGGAAACAGGGCCGCTCCTTAAAACATGGAAAAGGATGTGGAGCGTCAGAGGCAAAGCCCTTTAAACTGCAGATCATCGTGTTTTATCACATGTTGTCTCCTGACGCGGGGCTACTGAGCTGAACATCCATCACATGGGATCAAACATCGCAGCGCTGCCGGCTCCGGTCCAACCCATCACCTGTGGCGTGACGCCCCACCCCCCTCCCCCCTGCTGACCCAGGAGCTCTCGTCTTCTGAGGCCAGAACAGACGTTACATCATAAATGCTGAGGCCAAGTTCTTTGATCTGAGCAGCGCAGCCAGCACCACGAGGCCAACAAGGCAGCAGAACTCACTCCAGCTCAGATGGGAGGGGGGAGGCAGCTTTTCTTCATGGAGGGAAAAGAGACCTGAGCCGTGAAAAATCCAGAGCAGGTCAGGTTACACGAAGCAGAGACAGATTTTACTCTCTTTCAGGGACATGAATCTAACTCGGTCCGTGTGTCATAAATGACTTGTTTAAATTGATGCATGCTCCTAATCACTCCGGGTTTTTTCTGATAATTGTGTAAATGCTGAGTCAGCAATCATACAATCACTTTCCTGTTTTTTCCCATACCTATTTTGCAATCTAACCATTTCTGAATATTTTCTGCTATTTTAGCCACTCATCTCTCAAAATCTTCAGCTCACTTAGGAGGTGGGCGCTGTGACTTTTATACTTTTTAAAATATTTAACTTCATTTACAAATATTTTCCACATAGAACACATACACAGTTTCAATTACTTCTAAATTACGAGAAACTTTTGCAACTTTTAGCTTTTAGTTACCAATCGGCTACCTTTAGCCCCTAGCTAGCCTGTTGCTACTTTTGGCTTTTATTCAGATTTTTTGCCATTTTTGGCCTTTAGTCTGTCTTTTGCTACTTTTATCTTCTAGTTAAACTTTTGCCACTTTAAGCTAGTGTTACTTTTTATTTTTATCTAGCCTTTTGCWATAGTTAGCTTTAACTTACCTTTTGGCTAYTTCTAGCTACCACTCTGCTACTTGAAGCTTTCATCTAGCCTTATGTAACTTTTAGCTTCTAGAAACTCTTTTGATAGATTTAGCCTTTAGCTAGCATTTAGTTTTCAATTGGCATTTCAAGCATTCTATTAGCTACTATCATTTTTTAAAAATTGCATTTACATAGCTATTTGCTACCTTTGGCTTTTTGTTACCATTCTGTTACCTTTAGCTCCTAGCTGCTACTTTTGGCTTTTACCCAGATTTTTGCTATTTTTGGCATTTAGTCTGATTTTTGCTTCTTTTATCTTCTAGCTAAACTTTTGCCATTTTTTACTTTTCACTACTATTTTTCTAAAGTTAGCTTTAACATACTCTTTGGCTACTTTAAGCTACTATTCTGCTACTTTAAGCCATCTAGCTTTATGTAACTTTCAGCTTCTAGCAACTCTTTTGATAGATTTAGCCTTTAGCATGTTGATATGTTTAGCTTTTAACTAGCATTTTAAGCACTTATTTAGCTACCATCTTTATTAGCATTTCCCTGGCTATTTGCTACCTTTAGCTTTCAGCTATCGATTTGCTATTTTTAGCACCGGTTTTGCTACTTTTATCTTTTAATAGCTTTTGCTTGTTTTAGCAACTTATTTTCAGCGTTTTGAGGGCTGGTCCATGGCATAGGCAGTATGGGCTAATTCTAAGTGTTGCTGCCACAAATGGGGGATGAAGAAACATTTTTTCATAACTTATTTTATATTATATACTTTAARATAGATTTTATGTTGTTTCATTGTTCCCAAGAATTTAGTAAAATGTTTTGAGTAGATCTTTTACATTTTTTGGGGGAGCATACCCCTGGACCCCCCTAGAACTGCTTCAGTCCACAGCTGCTGGTTAACATGAACAGGTGTTCCTCATGATGTCAGCAGGTGTTGGCAGGTATTAGGTCAACTTGGTTTCTAACGCTAAATAATAATATCAAAGACAAAACTAATTAATTGTGTGTGACTGTATGGAAGGGGCACCACTTGAAATCTTGCCCAGGGAGCCCAACTGGCTCGATCTGGCCCTGCCAGTCGCTCTGTGTTCTGAGTTAAAACATTTAATCCCCTAAAATGAACTGAAACTGTACAAAACCAACAACCTTAAACTTACATAGGAGACTTTATCACCCTGATGAGCTGCTGGCAGAGGAAATCTCTTTAACATTTGATATAAATAGTTCAATATTTCAGGTTGTTACATCTAATAGATAAATGTTGATTAAAATAAATTTGATTAGAGCTCTCGTGTCCTTTAGACACAAAATCCTACATGTTAACAAAAATAAAACAGTTGTTTGTCCATCCTATAATGTGGTATATTGAATAAACTGATATTTATTATGAGCACAGAATCAAACAAGTGCTGATGTTAATCTTTGACAACAGCAGGTTAAACCTGAACGAACTGTGAGTAAATTCCTCCTTTTTCAGTTCATATGTGCACATATATCTTCCCATAAATTAAACACCTCCTTTGCTTTTGATTTAACAGCTGATTTCAATTACAGTGCTAAAAACAAGCTGATAAATTAAAAATAAAAAAAATCCAGAGACAATAAAGTCCTGTGTGAGTGTGGGATGCATTTCTGAATGGGTCTCATGCACCTCCACGCTCAGTCCCATCACCACAGAAGTTCACAGCTTCTGTGTTTTTCTGTCATTCTTTCAGTCTTACCCTCATCAGATGACTCCTCTGAATGATCAGAAAGGAAAAAAAACACTTTGTTTGACCCTGAGGAAGGCGGTGATGAGAATAATTCAAATGTCTGGTGAGTTCTTCTTACCTTTCTGGTCTGAAAACAAGAGAAATGAGAAAATAAAATCAGATTTTCGATCATAAACTCAGAAAAACAACAATGACTTGGCGTCATAAAGATGCTCACCAGCAGGGGGTGCTGCAGCCTCGTCGCCCTCGGCTTCTGCAATTAAACAACAATTATGCAAATGAATGTGCACGTCCTCATTAATTCATATCACACAACAGCAGCAGCACAGCCACAGCTTTAAAACTAACTGAGATGTAAAACTGTTTAAAGAACGGCGTCTGAATCCTCAAGAGACGCAACTAATTATTAATATTATTGACTAATAATCATTTCTGCACATATCTGAGAGCAATTCATCTGTCTAATGTAAAGTGATACATGCAATCAATCTCTACAAAGKGAAATCAACACATATTTAAATGAATATTGCAGCACATTATCAGCTTCATTAAAACAACAAACTGAAACGATTTAACATCAGCGACACAAACTGACAGTAAAAGCTCTTTCCGGCTCCTCCGCCTGCTGCACCCGACCTGGGTTCTGCAGGGGTCGCCTCRGGCTGCAGGGAGCGCTTGGTTTTAACAAGGAAAACAGAGAAAAAAATCTGAGCAAACCCAGTTTACCCATGCAGACAGCCAGCCCGAGATAAATGTGTGACTGAGGTTTTCAGAGATAATGAGGAATAATTGAGCTGTAGAAAAGGAGAAGCCGTGAGACAAATGTGCTTTTAATATGTTAAGTACATCAAAGTTGTTCCTGGATCCCAGATCTGGGTCACTTCAGGAGCTGAAGGAGGTCTGAAGCAGATCAGGCATAAATTTCTTTTCTGCCAGACAAACTGAAGCTCGCAGCTGCAGCGATAATTTAGTTTTGGCAGTGTTTACATCCCAACCATTTATTTTAATATTTCCACAGGTCGGTGTCCTCGCTGCCGCTATAAACTACAAAAATTTATATTTCTTGCAAAAATTCAGAGAGAATGCTGAGTGCTTAAAGGGATCCCCGATTAGTTGTAACATTAGACTTTATTTGATAAATAAACATTTATTTTAACTGTAAAATAAAGATGGTAAAAATACTGTAGGATGTTTTGTTTTGTAAATTTTTTAAAATYTATTTTAACARGGACGGAGCCATTTTATTTACARYCAAAGCATTCTGGGTAAATGATGACGTGGATAGGTCCTCGGTGCGAGGCTGCTAGCGAGCTATATCCACCCTGAAGGTTAATCTTGGACAATATCTGATGATCGACTCTTTTAAATGAAACCAGAGAGCGTTGACAGAGAGGAGAAGGTAGAAATGACTCAGCCTGGAACTGAAAATATGGATGGGGGACAACAGAGTTGCTTCATGGAAGAACAACCTCAGATTAGCCTGTTAGCCTTTGCGCTAGCCCTCACGCTATATTGCCTTATATGTATTAGCTTGGCACTAGCGCAACAAACAAGTTAAACTGAGGTCCTCCATCCATATTTTCAGTTGCAGACTGAGTCATTTTTGTGTTCCCCTCTCTGTCATGTGGATGGAGGACCTCAGTGACGAGAGGAGAATGTGTAGCGCTGAGCTAATACATATATTTATGGTGATAGCATCGGGGCTAATGCTAAAGCTAACAGGCTAAGCTGAGGTTCTTCTTCCTTTTTTTTTTCTTTTTCTTTTTTTGTCAATGTGAATATTGAAAATATGGATGGAGGACCTCAGTTTAGCTTGTTTGTCGCACTAGCGTCAAGCTAATACATATCAGGCAATATAGCGTTGGTGCTAACACTAAAGCTAACAGACTAAGCTGAGGCTCTTCTTCCATGAAGCAGCTCTGTTGTCCTCCATCCATATTTTCAGTTCCAGGCTGAGTCATTTCTACCTTCTCCTCTCTGTCAACGCTCTCTGGTTTCATTTAAAAGAGTCGATCATCAGATATTGTCCAAGATTAACCTTCAGGGTGGATATAGCTCGCTAGCAGCCTTGCACCGAGGACCTATCCACGTCATCATTTACCCAGAATGCTTTGCGTCTAAATAAAATGGCCTCGTCCGTGTTAAAATATATTTTTAAACTTTTAGTTTAAAAATTATAAAAACTAAACATCCTACAGTATTTTTACAGTTTTTATTTTACAGTTAAAATATATGTTTATTAAATAAAGCCTAATGTTACAACTAATCATGGATTCCTTTAATAACTTTGATATCTGTTTTAAAAAAAACTAGTGTCTAAACAGATGCACAAACAAGACGAACATGAGCTAAAACAATCCAAACACAAGCTAAAATGAGCATAAATCAAGCAACAATTAGCAGAACAGAAAGCTTAAAGCTAAATGAACAGATCGTTCAAAAGCCTTAAACCAAGAGAACCTTAGCTAAAAGCTAAAATTCAATATGCAACAGCTAAAAACTAAAATGACAAAAACCGTGTCAAATACAATTAGCTAAACTGCAACAAAACTAGACAATCCAAACAGAAGCTAAAAAGTGGAATTCACTCATCAAATTCTTAAAATCAACCATTAAAATAGTAGCTAAAAGCTGAACTGTGACAAACAATAGGTAAAAGCTCTAATTTGCATAACAGAAGCTCAAAATGAGCAACACTGTAGCTAAAAGCTACTGTGGGCAACACAGTGGCTGATGGCTCCAATGAGCTAAAATGAAATTAAAACCAGCAAAAGTTTAAAAGTTAAAATCAGCCAAACTGAAGCTTGAAGCTTAAATTAACATAAAAGCAGCTAAAAGCTACAATTACTGAAACCACAGCTCAAAGCTAATTTAAATCAACAATCAGAATCAGAATTGCCTTTATTGTCATTATAATTTGCATTACGATGAAATTGGGTTTGCTGCTTGTCTTTTTTAGACACAATAAAATAACTTCAGGAGAGAAGACAATACAATAAAACAGACAAGTTAAAATCAAATAAAGACAAAAATGTGTCTAAAAAAGAGACCTGAAGCAAAACCTGAAGCAGATTTCTAAAAACATTTTTTCAGGAACTGAAGAGATGTTGAAGTGAAGAACATCTTTGTGAAAAAAGTTAAATATTTTCAAAAGTAGCTTCATATCAAAAGCCACACAGGAGAACACAAAATGCTGACTCGCCATGTTTCCCTTCGCAGCCGAAGCAGCTCTGTGTAATAAAAAGCTGGACTGCATGAACGACGTGGACTTTACTGGTCTCAAAACCACAACTGGAACCGAAGCCCCCCAGGGGTCTACTCTAGTCTAAGATATCAGGACCGGACTCTGGTCTGGAGCTCCGTGCCGACAGACCGATGTCTGGAACTGTTTGCAACGTTTCTAATTTTGGATGGTTTGTTCTTTCAGGCCTCCTGTCAGCGCTTCAGTCCTGCTAAAAAACCTGCTGAGTCATTGTTTCCATCTTTTACTGCAAACAAAAAGAAGCTCTGCTCTGATCGTCTGGTTCTGGTTCCTCAGTTTGATCTTTGGTCAGATGTGATCTGAACACGACGGAGCAGAAGACAAGATGAGCAGCTGTGACGTTAAATAAACGCCATCAAATCACAACGGAAACAACTTCCTGCTAATGTCTGTTCTGTTTGTTAATAATAAAACAGTTTGACAAAAGACTTCTAAAACACKYAGTSTCTGCAGCAGAGCCGTCCCGACGGTTTCTCTCCATCATAAATTTCTAATAAAGTCCTTAGTTTGACATGAAAGCGCATCTGCTCAAAGAGTGGTTTTGTGTCTCTAAATGCTGCCTTTGGGAAAAAAAAACACGTCTCAGTTTCTGAGTTAAAAGCAAAACGGTTTGATTTGAGCTCATCTTTTGTAAAAATCGTCAAACTGCCTCAAAGATTTAATAAGTTGTGGTCAGAAGTTAAACTGGAAAGCGCAGGACTGGATGATCAGTCGTCACAAACAGCCGAGCGCCGCCTCTCTCTCCTCWCTGAAAGGACGAGGCAGGGAGACTCTCGGCAATCATCGTGTATTTTCCTCCATTACCTCCAGCAGCATTCTTTGTGCAGGAAATTGAGTTTCCACAAAAGACATTTCAGACCGTCAAGGTCACTGCTACCTCCTGTATGCATGATTACACAGGGAATTTATACATGTTATCAGGATCAGCCTTCATATCTAATTTATGGGCTTTTGCTGCTCTGGATTGCCAATTTTCACCCATTTAGGTAGTCTGCAGAGAGGCAGAGTACCTGGCTTTAGATTCATTTTTTATGTCTCAGGTGTGACATTTTATACCAATGGATTAAAAAAAAT